ACACCTACAACACACCTACAGCACACCAACAGCCTGGGAGTGCAGCGGAGGAGGGTGTACCTGTCAGTTTCTGGGTTTTTACCTGACTTTGTGTCATTCAGGGGAGACTGCAGTCCACTGTGTGGTTTATTTCATGTATGATGGCAGTTACATGTAAACTAATAAATCCAGTGAATGACCCATCTCTGTGCACACCTTCATTAAATAGTGGAAACAGAAGACTGGTCTATTGTTACTAGTGCAGAGTGGATCTCCACAGCACCACTCAGGCCCATCTCACCCTGAGTAGCTAGTTTCATGTCATTATATATCTATTACAGCCTCTCTACAGACGTCACCTGTTTAGTGCAGCCACGGTGTTACAGAGTAAACAGGAAGTAAATGAGAGTCGCAGCCGAACATCTTGTGGCTTCTAACTGTCCCCGGTCACTGTCAGTATGACAGCAGACAGCAGAGCATCTTGGTCTAAGAGATAATGAGATAAATCTAATAACGGTTGATCAGACCTAGAAGGCCGGTGCCCTTGATGCTCACAGGGATCCTTCATTAGAGCACACAGTAAACAATGATAGAACACGTGTCCTCCATGCAGCACGCTGCTAGCTGCTCTCGTCTCCGTACGATTCTGCTGGTGACGTTTCCTGCATGTCCAGTATAGCCTGAGAGGGCACAGACCTGTCTGGCTCCCAGATATCCTGACTTCAGACAGACAGAAAAAGCCAGGCATGTTGCAGATGTCTGAGATCAGATTGCATCAAAAAACTACATGAAAATAGAAAGCGTCCCTCCAAAAGCGCATTTTCTCAGTTTTCTTATCGTACACACAAGCTGCTGCTAGCCTGACAGGACAAACGCCTCGCTGACTCAGAAACATGCAGAACATTAACTGACAACATGAAGCTGCTGCGGCTGATTTATTCACCAGTACAGCCAGCAGCGCTGCAACATGTGTTGATGGGGAGCAAAACGGAGCCCCGGCCATGCTGCACACAACGCAGGGCACGCTGATGGAAAGATGAAAGAGAAACATGAGGATGAACAAACTCACGTTGATGTAATTTGCATTGATGTAGTCATCTGTGCTTTTCAGAATGACCCGTGTGGCATCATCTGTCGGGAGGAGAGAAAGAGGGAAAGATTACACATGGGAAAGATGGCAAAGGGGGAAACAGGTTGCGAGAAAAGAGTTCAAGAGGAAAATGGGTGTAGAAGAGAGCAAGAGGTCGATGCCAGCACATATTTGAAAACAGAAACAGACGCCACGTGCAGCCACGTACATGGAGAGATGTCTCGGTAGCGATTTTTGGAAACGTTCTGAGGTAATTTGGCACACAGCATGGTCATCCCCGGCCTCTTCCTGTACAGTTGCTGTAGAAAAAGGAACACAAAGGTCAAAGGTGTGCAAGATCAGTAAAAACAGACTCTTTCTTTGTGCACACTGTAAACATGTACGAGTCATGCTGGGAGCACAAGTGGCTGCTCACCGGCTGTCCGTGCATCTATCTGAGTGTTTTGAACATTCCTCCTCATAGTCAATAGCACAGCAGTGAAACAGAAAGCTGTTAAGAGATGATGATGAAAGACGTTTTGGGAATGTGGAGGAGGAAGCCAGTTAGAGACCGCTCCTCAACAAAGCCAGCCTATTCAGCGCCGTCTTCTGGCCGGCTGCTTTGGGGTTGGTGGACGGGCCGTGGCAGCCAACACGTGCTCTGGCCTGACTTTTAAATGCCTGGGGTCGACATCTGTCTATCTGTGGTTTCTGATGGATTAGCACATGTTGGTCAAGCTTTTATTGCACTTGCAGTGAGGGCTGGATATTCAATCGGCTCTGGGCCCAAATCCTGTTATCACATGTCATCAGTTCTGCTATCAGTCCTGGAGACATGTAGGAAATGGATTTCCTTTTTGATACTGCCAGATAAACATTATCTTGCACATTCTGTCACACCAGGTCCATCTCCAATTAGTCTATGGTGCATTTCTGCTGTTCTCTCCACAACACATGGCAGCACATTCATACATGCTCTGAGTGAGAAGCCGGTCAGTGTTCAGACCGGAGTCTACGCTGACAACGCTCGCTCGACTCCTCCACGTAGGACTGAAAACAAAGCAACTGTCCCAACATCCAGTCAAAGTTCATCACATACAGGCAGAGATGTGCAGCTTACCTAGCTAACTCTAACCCTAACCCTGGCTGGTACTTGGTCTCCTGTTCCTGTAGGTAGTGATATATGCTCACCCTAACCCTCACAGGGATGGCACAGGCATGGAGTACGTATTTCTGTGCAGCTATGGGCTCATAAACTCCATCTGAAATGAGCAGAGCATCATCCGACCCATCAGTCAGAAATTCAGCATCAGTTTCAGAGCAGTCAGGGTGCAGGGATGCAGTGGTTAGAGGCTGCAGGGAAACTGGTCCATGCTCACCCTGCTCTGACTGAACGCTGGTGTTGGCAGCAGTAGAGAAGGTAGTGAAACCACAAGTTAAACCATCAGCAACAAACAGCAGAAATACTGCCAAAGAAAAAGGCCTGCCATCAAGTTTTTGCTAAAAAGTAAAGAATGAAAGAGAGGACATTTACAAAAAAAGAAGCAATATAAATGATATTTTAAGGTGTCCAACATAGCAGAAAGTACCGATCAGAGTCCTGTCACAGTAGCAGATCAATAAGCAGTATTGGCCATAGTGGCCGTACCACTGGAGGCTGAATGCTGCACGTCCCACAGACAACCAGCTGTTGTCTTCCTTCAGCTGCCTTGTTTCTGTCCTGCTCACATCTCAGACCGTCCCTGCCTAACTCTGCAGCATGCGGCCGCTCTGACACGAGGCCGCTCTGTGATGCGCTCATCCAGTTGCATGAATTGTTTCTGCAAATGAAAATCCTGAATCTGTGATCAGCATCGTTAGCTTCCTCGCTGACATCTACCCAATCATTGCTACGACTATGGTACTGCTCAGTACTGGTCAGAACAGAGTTTCTGGTGCTCTGCTCAACCTGGATATGAAGCACTAAATAACAGAAGTGTGTCTGGAGTCTGTTTATGTCAAGATCTTCTGTCTTTGTCCTCACATCAAACTGTGCCAGTATGGCTCCACTGCTCAGGCCTTCCTTCAGTGTGACCATAGAGTCCCTCAGAGCATGCTGGTCTAGCTGGGCAGGGTCCTGAGGAGACTTCTCTGGGATGTACTGAAAATCTGGCTCCGAGTCCACCTTCTCCTCCACCACGTCATAGATGGCTGAATGGAGCAGAAGAAGAAATAAGCATGGACAGAAAAAACCTTCAACATAACAAATGCTCAAAGTCATTACAACCATAAGCGGTCATCCGTAGTTCATATCTGTGCAAACGCCTGCATTCATATATACGTTTCAACAGCAGAATCCCATGATGAGAATCGACAGGCATTCAATGCATCGATGCAATCTTATATCTGCTTTGATGTACGAGAGGATAGAATGCTCAAATCCCTCTCTGACCCAGATAAAATACCAAGAATTTCTGTTTCATCATCTTTTAAAGCTTCCCTCCCCGCACCGCTTATGCTGATGAAAGGAAATGCTTCGGCATGTTCCTCCATGCTGAATCCATACAGCTGAGATGTACAGAAACCTAAACGTACAACTTCATAGACTTCATTTGCAATTAGCAGAACGGGACTGAGCGGTCCAGAAGCGGAACCAAAGCTTGTAGCCACGTGTAGCAGTTAATTTTCCAGAGTGGGCTGCACCAGCTGTTCATGTGTTACACGTAGCCTAGATAACCAAATGTTGACAATCACTGACCCAGTAGCACGACAGAAACCAGTGCTTTGGTAAAAACCACCTTCCAGATGTAACTGTGACACAGCCTGCTGAACCCCATCACAGAACTGGCTTGGTAATAACGAGCTGATAGACAACAGCTCTTCATATTCTGTTCACGACACTCTGTTGTTGAAGACCGTACCACGGAGGCTAACGTTCAATATTTCAGAGCAGATCTGACAATGGAACAACTCACCGTTTGGTCTGACCAATAGGATGAGCTCCCCAGAGTGGCTCTCACAGCTGGCCTTGATGAACATGACCACCTGGTCATGGGTGTGGTCCGAGATGTCCCGCCCATTAATCAGCACCACCTGGTCACCCTCATTAAGGCGAGGCACACACAGGTCAGCCTGAAGAGAAACCGTGAGAGAGGCTTTTAAAACATTTGTTAGGGTTTACTTTGACAACACGTCGACAGTCAGAGATGACACTCTATGGCTACGCTAGTAGCTTAGCATGGCTCTGAGCCACTGTCCTGGCCAAAGGTGGGGACGGATACGTCAAGTGACTGGAGTCACTGAAGCAACCAATCAGACGCGTGCATAACGCTGAGCTGTTCTAGACTGCTTTACAGCTCTGCAGACGAGCTGGCTGTTCACTTACCGATGTTCCCGGAGCCACTCTTGACACAATGATAGGCATCTTCTGGTCAGCTCCACCCTGGAAACGTACAGGTACGTGTTCACGTTACAATGCGCTGAGTTTTCCGGGGAGACACTGATGAAGGACTGTGAGCGTGGCGTGATGCATACAGATGATGCACAGCAGCAGAGGTGTGGAGCAGGTGTCTCACCTTGACGTTGAAGCCGAATCGGCCGTGTTCATCAGGTCTCATCTTGATCAGGACCAGGTTATCATGAGGGACTACTCCATTCAGCTGAAAGAACACAGTTCAACACAGATAAGTCCAGTTTACATCCTGCTGTCTTCTCAGTCGTCCTCCTCCAGCACAGAGCACAGTTACAACAGGCTGGTCAACAGAACCAAACCTTTACTTCTGCTGTACCTGGTTTAAATTTCCTTTTGACTGGAGTGTTAACTAAACATTTCTAATGAAAGTGTAACTTAGATTAAGAGTGTCACTAATTTATTTATGGCCACTAGGGAGCAGAAAAAACATCTGAACAAGCAGGAGCAAATCCACCACACAAGACTGGTTTATGTCCATAAACAGTAGTTTGATTTCCCATGAAGCAGACGTGGAGTCGTTCTCTTCACTTTGTGTTTGTGGCCACCTGGAGAATGCAGATAACCTGTCCTTGGGTTTATCTCTATGAACACGAGACGTTACACCAATACTTCTGTTCAGTGTCAATATCAAACTTTTCCAAGAAAACTCCCGAGAGAGGTAATACGATCATGTTGCCATGGTAACACTGCTCAGGCTCTGACCAGTCAAATCTTTATTATAAACGTCCAGCTGGAAGATAAGGCAGAACCACACCGTTAGCTTTCCTGCACATGTACTGCAGCTGTCGCAGCCGCAGTTTGTCATCAGTCAGCTCTGATCGATTGAAAACTTCAAGAAAGCAGATCTGAGCTGGACAAACGGGGAAAACACTGAAGAAGCAATTTGGACTTTGCAAAACTATTTTAAGTCTGTCCAAATGTTTAAATTAAGTTAGTGCAATGTGTGCAGTCTCAAGGTAGTTCACTACTGATATTAAATTAACTTTAATTCGATGTGAAAAAGATCCTCAAAGTTTAGTCAGTAATCGCTAAAACAGCTGCAAGGCCCAGACGAACATCCTGGGCTCTGTGGATGAGAGTTCCTCAAAAGAACGTTGATGTCAACAAGCCTGATTGATTTTTTCATGAGGTTAGAGTGAGACAAACATTTTCATTCCCTGGTAATCACAACTGTAAATTAGAGAGTAAATACCCACGAGCCTCATAACCGTGAGTCAGGGACACGAATGTTCCTGATCTGTGACACAGCAGGAATGAATCACAACAAATGGTACATCCACGCTGATCATGGCTGTACGTGGCACTCTGGGGTGAACGTGCCATGCTTGGCGACATTCACAAAGTGGCACTTGTTGCATTTTGTAACGGACACGGTCTGGGTCAGTGCAGGACCTCCAGGATGGAAGGGGTAGGGATGCTTTATGCAGCTGGGCACTCGAAAACTTCCTGTAATCCAACATGTCTGTGCCGTCATACTGACCGTGGTCTTGTCGGCGTTGACGGGAACATCGTACATCTCGTTGAGGTGGTTGTCCAGGAGGCTCTGCTGGGAGTGGGCCTGGATGATCTGGCTCAGTGTCTTCCTGCTCAGCTGCTTGGGGGGCAGAGCTGGAGGCTGGCCATCTACCCCATCTGGAGAACTGGGGGGAGGCAAACGGAGAGAGAAAGACGATCAGAGGCCGAGAGATAAAAGTAGAAATAAAGCAAGAAATTAAAGACAGAAGAAAGTGAGAGGGGGGAAAGTGGCTCAGATAAGCAAAGTGATGTGAGGAAACGTTGTCTAGATGAGCTGATAGGCTTCTTTTGATCGCTATGCCACAGGATGGCATCTGTTATAGAACAACATATAGTACATTCTAAATCATCTGCAGTCTCCACACTCAGTTTTTTGCAGCTGGCATCGCCGATAGAAAAAGCCACAACATACCAGTACCATAAATACACAACTAATGGTCTCGCTAAAGGTCTTTCTATTTGTTAGAGGTGGACTGAAAGAAACAGAGACAAATGGAGAAAAACAGATAAAGGGGAATGAGAGAGAAAGAGATTGCAAGAGACAGAGAGGCTTAATAGCACTGTGTTAGTCACAATGCATTAACCTCAATAAAAGGGCTGCAAGAGAGGAAAACACCCCCCATCACGAGACAATAAAAGGCAGCCTGTGTACGGTGAAACAACAGCAGCGTCAGTCAGGTAAGGCTTTCAGCGGCTTCACGGCTCGCTCTCTGGTGGGTAGAAGTGCTCAGCCGCTCCTGAAGGACGGAGCAGCAGTCAGAGAGCATCAGCGTTGTTTGGGCTGCTGCTACTGGTGTCACTGTATGTCTTAAACACACACACGCAAACCAACATTTATTATGGGTCAAAAGCAGGTCAGGCTTTGAGAAGGAGGGCAGAGCACAGCAGGCATGTCCTCCCACATCACTGTATGTCCTCAGCACGACACACACGAGTGAAACGGATATGCAAACATCTTCATAGCACACCACAACTTAGGCCAGACTCTGGCATGACAGGACTGAAACCTTGTCTGCACCAGCTGTGATGAAGCCATTAGAATCATTTCATTGTAACCAAATGCTAATTGTCTTCTTTTGCCTGAGAAATCTTTAAAAGCATGACGCAAGATAGAAATTAATCAGCGTGCAGTGACAGAAAAATCCCACCGCTGGTTCACGAGACGTCTCGAACCAGCTGCTGTGGAGCAAGACGTCGCATTCACAACCTCCACAGGACAAATTTAAAAGCTGTCAGTGCACACCCACTGTTTTAAACCAAACTATTTTCCAGCCTTTGCTTTGAATCTGTGAAGAAATGGGCCTGATTACAGCATATAAAGTAATTCACCATCACATACCATCCAGTTGCTGCCCTGTTGTGACAATATACGGTAGAACTGCATCTTCTTGTGTGCTGACGCTGTCGAGGAAATAAAGTCACTGCAGCTCACCGCGGCTCGTCACACAGAACATGTTCACTGCATGCAGCTACAAACTGAACATCATACAGACATGTTGCCGGTTTGCTGTAGTGACTATATGAGGAACTGACACAGAGCAAAACTTCTGTCCAAGACAGAAAGCAGATTCTGAATGTTGGAGGAGCGTTGGGGAAAACCTGGACTACAGGCCTGAGCAAAATGGTCAACCTGGAGACTTTGAACTGGGTTGAGTGGTGTCAGTAAAGACTGCAAATACACACTCAGTGTGTTTCAGCTTTAAGATCAGGGGATGTGCCACTCAGAATGTAATCTACTTGGTGCAAAGTTGAAGTTATTCAGCAACCAAAGTGTAATCTGGATTGGAACCAAATCTTTTAAGTAGACATCCAAATTGGGTTGAGGAAGTAATTCAGAGCCACTGAAGCTGAGAGAGATGATTAAAAACATGAATTTGTTTCTTTTGACAGTAACCTACTTAGTGAACTCTGCCCTCTGTTTGCAGTCCAACAGGAATATCTGAGACCGGGAGGGTCCAGGAGGAAACTGATTTGAGCCGCCGGAGGGATTTATTTTCAAGTCTTTGGGTTTTTCATGGCAGCAAATAAAGGAAACTAGAGACCCTAGTCATACTGACAGTTTTAAAAAGGCAAGAATATTGTCAAACTGAGAGTTTGATACCGATTCACTTTCAGCCTAACCCTCCTCTCCGCCCCATCATGGCTCTTTCTTTAACATTACAGCAAATGGTTTGTGTGCTTCTAGCTACAGGTCGGGAGGGATGGAGGTGCTTTGGTTTACACTCACAGCAAGAAGGTTCTGTGGTACTGGTCGGCTGGACCTTCCTGTGTGGCGTTTGTCCTCACTGTGCCTGTGAGGGTTTTCTCTGGGTGCTCTGGCTTCTTCCCACTGTCCAAACTCATGCATGGCAGCTTCAATGTGACTGACTTGGCAGCAGCAGTGGGTGTGAGCGGACAGGGTTCTCTGTCTGTTATCTCTTTGATGAACTAACAACCAGACCAGCTGCCTCTTGTGCAATGTCAGCTGGGATAGGCTCAGGACAACACACTCCCATGAGCCTCCACAGAAAATGAACTGATGAATGGAAGCTGAATGGTTTTCTGGGGTTAGGAACACACATGCATGAGCCTGACTTCATAGTCGTAGTCCTGTTGAGGACGGGTGATAATTCCAGCATCCATCATCTCTACACTCTCACTAGGATCATGGGGGGCGGAGCCTATCCCAGCTGACTCAGGGTGAAGGCAGGTTCACCTGGACAGGTAACCAGTCTATCACAGGGCTACACTTAGAGACAGACAACCAAGCACACTCACATTCACACCTACGGACAATTTACAATCACCAATTAACCTCAGCATGTTTCTGGACTGTGGGAGGAAGCCGGAGAACCCGGAGAGAACCCACGCTGCACGGGGAGAACATGGAGACTCCACGCAGGAAGATCCCGGGTGTCCTCACCGGGACGTGAACCGGCGACCTTCTAGCTGCGAGGCGACAGTGCTAACCACTGAGACACTTGCAGCCCTATTGTAAACATGACAATCATCCACACACACATTTTAAGAATTCTGAAAGAGTTCATTATTAAAATTGTATGATTTAACATCCTCTTTCTGAATTATTAAACAAAGACGCAACGTTTTATTAACGTAACAGGCAAACAGCATGGAGCCAATAAACCACATGCATGACAGTGTTTGTGTTGCTTCAGGAAGACACAGCAAGAGATTACGTCATCTCTTGGCTCTGCGAAAGAGCGATGAGCCACCAGCTTGGCCTGAGCGTGTGTGTAGCTTGGTAGGCTGAGGAACTACCACCTTAGTGTTGCTTCACCATTCTGACTTCCAACGGACAAATGTTCCATCTCTGTAGCTCAGTCAGTCAGTCACTCACTCAGTCAGTCAGTCAGTCAGCAGAAGATCTCAGGGTTTGGACTGTGGAGCTTCATAAGTTAAAGGACCAGATACTGTACAGTGTGTGAGCCTGTCTGAGGACATGCAGAAAGCACAAATAGACGCACACACACTAATTCCTAGTTCCGCCCTGTTGCACAACCTCTCCACCCTGCTACCCGCTATAAACACATTTTACAGGCTGTTTTCAAAGGGTTCATCTTTCCTTTGGGGCCAGCTAAGTGACACTGGGAGAGGGTGTGAACTGTTGGGAGAAGCCACAGACAGACATTTAAAAACCTGTCAACTCAGCAGCAGAGTCAGACAGACTGTGACGGGCGCTGATGAGTAAAGTGTAACTTCCAAATTAAAGGGTGGCTGTTTGGGGGGTGTTCTATTTATGAAGCAGTGAAATTATGATCTAACCAAAGCTCTGCCACCGAGTCAAAAGCTGATGTTTTTCCCAGAGAGAAAGCGCTTCAGAGACCGTGGGCGGGATATGCAGCAAATGAGAAGAAGACAGAGGAAGAACTGAGACCAGGAGGCAGAATGACACCAGTTCATGGAGCTGCTGGCAGCGGGGGCTCGGGGCTTACGGTGTAGAGTCCAGGCTGATGCTGTTGGCCTGCGTGGACGATGCTGACTTGTGATTGGAGGAGAAGACAGGTAGGCTAGGGGAGGCGTGGATCACATGATCAACCAGGTGGCCAACTGACGATGGCCGTATCCGTGTCCCCTCTTGTACAAACAGAGAGTTCCTGACAAACACACAGACATAATGTGTTAGAGCTGACATCACAGCCTGAGTTCTTCTGGCATGGTGGAGGTACGTGTGTAGCCTTGGGTCCGGGTCAGGGTTAACCTGGACCTGGACCCTGACCCTGACGTGCTGGGAAGCTGACATCCAATACATGCTCAGAACTGTTGTTTTATGTACTTGCTGCTTGATCAGAAAGTTTCTGAGCTGAGTCCCAGTTTTGCCGCTTTTCTTTCTCTTGTTGTTGTTTGAAGGTTAACTTTAAATTATTTAGGTTAACTTACTGAAAGTGAGGACTGAGCGGCGTACAGGCCATGGATGGATGGAACTCAGTGCACGACTACGTACTGTCTTGGTTTGCACCAAAACTCACACTGAAAAATCTGACATGATATGTGGCTGTTCCGTGAATGGAGCAGGATGGGTGTGACATTTGCTTGATTGGTTTTATCCTTCGGAGTCATGGTTTGGCCTCAGACGCTTTCACAGCGTAAATGTTTGCCTATAAAGTTCTGAAATGACTCTTAAAAAGTTCTGTGCTGCAGTAAACAGATGCACACTAAAAACTTTTTCCAAGGTTTTTCATGTCTTCTAGGTGCATTTAGTTACAACTCACTGATTGGGCGTGCCGGGCGGCGAGCGAGTGGGCAGGCTCTGGGTCTCCAGTCGCTCATCTGATAGGCTGTTCCTGCTGACCGACTCCCAGTCTGTCCCGCCCACCAGCTTCCTGGCTAATGGCTTGCTGGGAGACCTGCTTAGACCGTGATGTTAATTAATGTCTAAAATGAGAACAATAACTGCACATTTTACAGCTGTGCTAAACAGTGTTTCTTCTGGAGTCATTTGGTCATTCAGGTCACTTGAATTGTCATTCAAGTGACCTGAAAGGAAACTTGTGCAGCTTCTCTTGGCTCCATTTTCAGGCTATAAAAATGTAGCCAGAGAGAGCGTGTCCATCAGTTTGAAGGCAGGACTGGATGAGGCAGTATAAAGAGATTCCATCAGAGTAGGATGTGGCTGCTGAATCAGTTAAACAGCCTTCTGTCAGTCGGGTGTGATTCAAGTCCTGTGTTGGGCACACAGTCAGGCTGCTGGCTTGGCTCTAACAGTGTACATATACAGACCAGACCAAAAGTTTGGACACACCTTCTCATTCAAAGAGTTTTCTTTATTTTCATGACTATGAAAATTGTAGATTCACACTGAAGGCATCAAAACTATGAATTAACACATGTGGAATTATGTACTTAACAAAAAAGTGTGAAACAACTGAAAACATGTCTGATATTGTAGGTTCTTCAAAGTAGCCGCCTTTTGCTGTGATTACTGCTTCACACACACTCTGCGTTCTCTTGATGAGCTTCAAGAGGTAGTCGCCTGAAATGGTCTTCTTGAAGGAGTTCCCAGAGATGCTTAGCACCTGTTGGCCCTTTCGCCGTCACTCTGCGGTCCAGCTCAGCCCAAACCATCTCGATTGGGTTCAGGTCCGGTGCCTGTGGAGGCCAGGTCATCTGGTGCAGCACCCCATCACTCTCCTTCTTGGTCAGATAGCCCTTACACAGCCTGGAGGTGTGTTTGGGGTAACTGTCCTGCTGAAAAATAAATGATAGTCCAACTAAACGCAAACCGGATGGAATAGCATGCTGCTGCAGGATGCTGTGGTCGCCATGCTGGTTCAGTATGCCTTCAGTTTTGAATAAATCCCCAACAGTGTCAGCAGTAAAGCACCCCCACACCATCACACCTCCTCCTCCATGCTTCACGGTGGGAACCAGGCATGTAGAGTCCTTTTCTGCGTCGCACAAGGACACGGTGGTTGGAAGCAAGGATCTCAAATTTGGACTCATCAGACCAAAGCACAGATTTCCACTGGTCTAATGTCCATTCCTTGTGTTCTTCAGCCCAAACAAGTCTCTTCTGCTTGTTGCCTGTCCTTAGCAGTGGCTTCCTAGCAGCTATTCTACCATGAAGGCCTGATTCACACAGTCTCCTCTTAACAGTTGTTCTACAGATGTGTCTGCTGCTCCAACTGTGTGGCATTGACATGGTCTCTGATCTGAGCTGCTGTTAACCTGCGATTTCTGTGGCTGGTGACTCGGATGAACTGATCCTCTGCAGCAGAGGTGACTCTTGGTCTTCCTTTCCTGGGCTGGTCCTCATGTGAGCCAGTTTCTTTGCAGCGCTTGAT